ACATTATTTGTGAAGATATTCTAGAAACAAATAGCACAGAGGAAAGGTGGTAGCGCTTTAAGAACATTTTGGAAATTGTTTTTACTCAGTGTAATCCAATAGGCAACAAATATAAAAGAACTAAGGTTGAATCTGGGTTGCTAAAATCAAGCTTAAAAAGGCGCATTAAAGAGAAAAAACGATCCTTTAAAAAAATGCAGAGGGGACACCGTCAACACGTCAGCACTACAAAGAATGCAATAAGTTGTAAGAGCACCATCAGGGCTGTGAAAATAGACTATGAGAGACACATAGAGTAAAAAAAAAAAAAAAAAACAAATTTTTTAAAGTATATTCATAGTAAAAAGACAAACTCAGTGCATATTGGCTCCATAAAGGATAATCAAGGAATATTGGTTACAAGTGACAAGGAGAAGGCAGCTGTATTAAATACATTCTTGTACTCAGTTTTTACTATAGAAAATGAGGGGTATAATAGACAGTTTTATTAGCAACACAGTGTTCTAAAAGTCTAGAAAAATTTAATGTGAACAAATCACCAGGATCAGATGGCTTTCATCTGAATGTCCTCAAAGAATTTTGCCAGGTGATTGCTAGACTGTTATTTGGGCGGCACAGTGGCTTAGAGGTTAGCACTTCTGCCTGGCATTACTAGGGTCGTTGGTTCAAATCCCAACTATGGCACCACCTGCCTGGAGTTTGCATGTTCTCCCTGTGCCTGCGTGGGTTTCCTCTGGGTGCTCCAGTTTCCTCACACACTCCAAAGACATGCAGGTAGGTTAATTGGAGCATTTTCTGGGATATTATAAGGTGATTTGTTGCTGTGCATAAATATAATTTTTAAGAATTTGCTGATAAGAATAGAATCAGTAATAACCAGTATAGATTTATAAAAGATTGTTCTTGTCAGACCAAGCTATTAACATTCTGTGAGGAAGGGAGCTGTAATCTGGAAAAGGAAAAGCATTTGGTATGGTACTCCATAAATGCTTAATCCACAAACTTAGATCTGCTGGCATTAACGATGATGTATGTACAGTACATGGATAGAAAACAGGTTACAGGAGTGTTTGTAATAAATGGCACATCTTCTGAATGGTCTGGAGTTATAAGTGAGGTACCACAGGGCTCTGGGACTAATTTTGTTTAACTTGTTCATACATTATATAGAGATTGGGATAAATAGTTCAATATCTGTGCTTGCCGATGATACAAACCATGTCTCTTCTGCATTAAAATTACTGCCTGTTTGCCTTTTTTAATTTTTTTTACCTAAAGTTATACTTTAAGGGGTTCTTTACTGTTAGAATTGCACAGAGGATCGGAAAGGAAATTGAGAGATTCTTTAGAGAGAATGAGACTGAGGATGTGTCTAAGGCAACAGTATGGGAGGCTCACAAGTCATATATAAGAGGAATTTTGATTGCAATTGGGGCAAGAAAGAAAAGAGAAAGAAGAAAAAAAAATAGTGGGTTCTTAAAAGATATAGCGGAGCTAGAACAGATACATAAAAACAGAATGCTAAAAGAAATCAAGCAGGAAATAATAAAAAAGAAAGAGGAACTGGAAACTCTGATGGAAGAGGAGAGAAGGAGAGTGTATAATAAAGTGCTAAGTGAAAACTATAAATGGGGAGATAGGCCGGGAAAATATCTGATGAGAACCTTAAGGAAAAAAAAAAAAATAGGAATTATATAGATAAAATGAAAAGCCCCAAGGGAGAATTGGTTCACTCAAATAAAGAGATCGCAAAGATGTTTGTAGAATATTACAGGAAATTGTATAACATCACCCCATACGATGAAGTAAAAAATATGGAAAAGGTAAAAAGGAAAAAAAAGGAAGATGTATCTAAAAAACGCCGGGATTACCGAAAATAAAAGAAGACCAACTAAAGTCCCTTGAAGCAGAGATTACACAAGAAGAGATAAAGGTAGTAGTAAAAAGTATGGAGATGGGGAAGAGTCCAGGACCAGATGGTTATACAGTAGGGTACTATAAAAAATTTAGTGAAATATTAAACCCCAAATTGGAAAAATATATGAACGTCCTGGGGGGAGAGATGGATATGAGAGGAGAATCTTTACAGGCTCATGTGGTACTGTTACATAAAGAAGGGAAAGACGCCTCGCAATGTTCGAGTTATAGGCCCATTTCACTGTTGAATTTAGACACTAAGATATATGCAAAGGTCCTAGCGAATAGGTTGAAGGAGTTTATGCCTGAATGGATACATGGAGATCAGGTGGGCTTTGTCCCAGGTAGAGAGGGCAGGGACAATGGGCTGAGATCCCTGATGCTGATACAGAGAAGTAAAAAAGGGGAGGTACCGGTGGTGGCCCTTTCAATTGACGCCGAAAAAGGCCTTTGATAGAGTAGACTGGGGCTTCATGATGGACACCTTAGAAAACCTGGGAATTGGAGGTAGAATGAGGGAATGGATTGGAAAACTGTACAGTAAACCCTCTGCAGTGGTAATAGTAAATGGGGAAAAAACAGAGCCCATCGGGATGTCAAATGGAACAAGGCAGGGATGCCCTTTGTCCCCCTTATTATACGTTTTGTCACTAGAGCCCCCTTTTATCAACAATAAGGAAAAACGGAGACATAAAGGGAATCCAGATAGGAAATGTAGAACATAAACTGGCAGCATTCGCTGATGACCTGCTGTTTTATGTGGGGAATCCCAGGACAACACTCCCAAATCTAATGAAACTGCTGAAGGAATATGGAGAACTATCAAACTTAAAAATCAACCCAACAAAAACTGAGATTTTAAATATAAAACATCCCAAAGAGTGAACAAGAAAAAATACAAGAAGAATTTCCCTTTATTTGGAAAGAAAGAGATATAAAATATTTGGGTGTAAGACTTAGCGCGTCGTATAAAAACTTGTACAAGCTAAACTATATTTCTTTTATTAAATGAAGTAAAGGGGGAATTAAAAGCATTAGAAAGAGGAATCCCATCGTGGTTAGGTCGTATAAACTTGGTAAAAATGATAATTGTACCAAAAATTATATACAGATTCCAAATGATACCAATTAAACTCCCAGAAGCTTTTTTTAATGTAATAAAAGAATGATAACGGGATATATCTGGAGGAAGAAAAAACCAAGGGTGTCCCATGCAATACTAAGTAGAGATAAAGAGAAGGGTGGTTTGGGAGCTCCGGATATAAAAAGATATTACAAAGCAGTATTATTAGGGAGAATTTTTGATTGGACGTTTAATTTAGAGGTGAAAAGTTGGGTAAAAATAGAGAATACACTTAGTGGAACTAATTTGAATAGAATAATAATGGCTACCGACACAATATAGAGGATTGAAGGAAGATTTAAGTCTGTACACTGTAAATGTATTAAGGGAATGGGATAAAGTACACAAATATATGAAATGGGAATTTAATTCTATACTTATGCCACTAAAAAACACAGAATTTTTTCCACCAGGTAGAGAAGAGATAACAGGTAGATGGCTTATAAAGGAGGATGTCCAACTCAGAGATATAATGGGGGATGGGAAACTGAAGACCTTTAAAGAGTTGGAAAAGGAAAAGGGAAATATATTCACCAGATTAGATGAGTGGCGCTATCATCAATTAAAATGTTTTTGGGGAAACCTCCCAAAGCCCCTGAGAACGAAAAAGGATTGGAATGTGTTTGAAAGGTTGTTGGATTCACGGGGTGATGGGAAACATGGAGTAGCTAAAGTATATAGAATTCTCACAGATTTAGACACAAACACTAAACCATTGCACATTGTGAATTGGGAAAGAGATATGGGGGTGGTGTTAGATGAAGGAAAACAGAAGAAAGTAAATAGATTAGTTCACGAAAACGTAAGTTTGAGGGATGTAGAATTAAATTACAAATGTTTGACAAGATGGCACATTGTTTTCCGAGTGTGGAGGGTAAGATAAGTGTAGAGAAATCACAGTGGTGTTGGCGAGAGTGTGGGGAAGTGGGGACAGTTTTCCATATTTGGTGGGAATGTCCAAAGATTCAAATATTCTGGAAAAAAATAATATATTTTTAATAGAGACCATCACTGAAGTAAACATCGGGTTAGACCCTGGGTTGTGCTTGCTACACAGTTCAGAGATATCAGTTAGTATGTATAAGAAATTAGGCTTAGGGTACTATCTGAACGCAGCTAAAAGTCTGATCCCCAAATACTGGAAGAAAAAAAAAAGAAATACCGAAAGAGGAGGAGTGGATAGAGAGAGTAATTGGACTAGGGAGATGGAGAAGACATATTATCTACAGGAAGATAAGTTGGAGATATATCTCTTGAAAATGGGAAAAATGGGGAAAATTTCGTAATAAGTATGAGAAAGTGAAGAGTAGAATGTTATAGAGAAAAATTGGGTAGGGTATGCTTGCTTTGGATACAAGTCAAGGAAATGCAGAGTGGGGGGGGGGGGGGGAGTCAAGGTTTTAATTAAGAGGGAGGAAATTGAAACAATAAGAAAAAATCGTATATTTTATGATGAGTGAGATGAAGTTGTTTATTGTTACTTATGTGAAAAATACTAATAAATATTTTTAAATAAAAAAAAAAAAAAGAATTGTATGGAGGTGGAACACCCTTCCACAATCAGTGGTTTCAAAGGGAAGTGTCACTAATTTGAAAAATCTTTTAGATTGACCACAATATACAAGAATATGGGAAGTGATAGAGATATACATATATGCATCCTCACCAACAGTTATAAACAGCTCACTTCACAAATCAGGTTTTAGGCTGTAGACCTGACCTAGACTCACTCTAGGGTAATATTTCATTATGCATTGACAGCATTCATTTATATGTTAATTTGGTAGGTATAATAAAAAATAAAAAACACCAGAAACCTCTAAATATGTGAATTAGAAACAACTGGCAATCATATTTAATGGTGTACTTACATTTAGACAGGTAATGTACTTCTAGATTTTATATTACTTATCTATATATATTTATATATGAGAGAGAGAAAAAATTATCTACTACATACCTCATTTAATACAATCCAATTTGGATCGATTTGAGCATCTCCCCTCTGGGTCCAAAACAACAGTCTGAAAATCTCTGAAGTCTGTTAGGGTAATTTCAGCATTATCAGGGCAAGCATCAATTTTATCTACCACCATGTCTTTGTCATAATCTCCTTCACAAGCATCACCAATACCATTCCCTAAAATAAAAAAAAAAATGCAAGAGATCATATTTGCACAAGGTTTACAAACTTTACGAATAATACACTCCTTGCTTTGTTACAATACAAACAAAAGTTCTATGACAAAATCACCAAAGTAGACACATTTTGTTTACCATCAGAATCTGCTTGGTCTGGGTTTGGTACTTTTCTGCAATTATCTGGGCCAGGTGGTGCAGTATCTGGGATGCCATCATTATCATCATCATCATCACATTCATCTCCTAAACCATCCTTATCTGTGTCTAGCTGTGAACTATTAATATCCGATGGACAATTGTCACGTGAATCTTGGAGGCCATCACCATCTCTGTTAATAAACAAAACAACAAAAACAAAACATTTTTGCTTTCAAGTTGCCAACACAATGATCCAACAAGCATTTAATTCACATTCAAAGGAAATAAGTGATCTATATTGTTATAGATATTCAGACAGCACTTCTATTACTCTTAGGCCCCATTCACATCTAGCAATGTGAGGGCATCACTTTTTTCTTGCGCTTTTTTTTTTTTTGCCATGTTGTAGAGTAACGCCGTTCACTTGAATGGGCTGCTCTCGGCTCCAAAAGCGTGCCAAAGTAGCTTCTGTACTATTTTTGGACAGTGCGATTTTGCACATATTCTTTTGCCCAATACACCCATTTTTTTTTTTAAACACTTTTGGGATGCCATGAAGAATGAATGGCACTCAAATGCACGTTGCATGTTTTGCTGAGATTTTGCTGCATTCCTGGTATCATGGACAGAATCGTGCTATTCTGCCCATGATTCTGCTATGTTCAGATGTGAACAGGGCCTTAGACAGATAAGACAAATGTATTTTTTCCATTAGAAAACTCAATACAGCAAAAAAACAATATCTCTGTAGTGATCAATACAAAAATATTTGAAAAAATAAAGTTAACTTATATTAAACCCTAATAAACAATATGCATCAATTAATTGGTGAAATAACATTCCCATAACATATAATTCACTTATGCATCGCAAAGAAATGAACTTCAAAGACAAATATATAGAAGTCCAAATGTGAAATTTTGAAAATTATGATTGTCTATGTGTAATGATTTTTTAAACCACTTCACAGACAAGTGTGCCAATTCTCGTCCCGCTAAGTAATGATTTCCAAATGATAAGAGATCAGCAACGGAGGAATCATCCAATTGGGGGGGTCCACAACTCATGGATACCACTGACTCCACTGCCAGAGATCAATAGCGAGTGTACAACATCATATGCCACTGGCCTCACCCATATGATGTTGTACAGCTGCTGTTAATCCCTGGAGTGGTGTGTTTTGCCTGTGTTGCTCTAACTTTTGTTAGTACAACTATTTTTAATAAGTCATATGGTTTTAGCATACTACTCTATGGTCCTTTGTTCTTTCTCCTACCCATTATTACTTTGAGGTGCTGTCTTTGGACAACCAGTGAAGGACCATGGAGGTATCCTGAGTGGTGGTCCCCCAATTGGATGGTTTCTGCGCTATTGATCTCTTATCATTTGGAGATTATTATATATTTTTCTTTGATAAGTAAATTATATGTTATGGAACTGTTATTCCACCATTTATTTGATGCATATTGTTTATTATGGTTTAATTTGAGTTAACATATTTTTGTACTGATCACCACAGAGGTATTCGTTAAAAGAATAATTATTTTTGTAATTCCTTTGTGTCCGGAATATAGGTTGCTGAATTACCTCTTTTTGCACATTTTTTTCAGGGACATTTACAGATGAGACTATGAATAATCCTTTTCCCCCTTGTGCCCAAAAGTGAGTTCACCCCTAAGTGAATATGTCCAAATTGGGCCAAAAGTGTCATTATTTTGTGTGGCCGCCATTATTTTCCAGCAATGCCTTAACCTCCCTAGCGGTCTGATTATGTCAGTATTTCTGTGCTCAAAGCGGTAAATTTTTTTCCATGGAAATATGTATTTTTTTTATTTTAGGCCTGTAATTTTTAGGAATAACTCACTGAAATCTGTCCGAACAAAAGTCTAGTAAACATCCCGGGTATGTTAAAATTTGAAATACGAAATCATAAATTATCATTTAAAAAATAATATATAATAATAAATTTAATTCAATAATATAATCAAACTAAAAACACTGAAATTTGAAATATAGCACCAAGTTCGCACATCACTGAGCAAAGTCGCAAAATCGTTTTCAGTTTCTGATGATGAATTTCCCCACAAATCATCACTCAATTCTGCAAGTGGTTCTAATTTACTATTGCTGTTCTCTAGCTGGTCTAAAACCGCTTTTGACCTAAAGGGACACTTTTTGGACGCCATGGACTTTTCTCAGTAGTCCAACACCGCTCTGCACCATATATGCGTAAGCAGTCACTGGGAAGTAAACTGGGTGTGAGAAGAGTGCTACAACCACAAGGGTCCTGGACACTGAAACCCTGGTGGAGTGTGGTATGCACATACTATAATGCACTACTGCTCACATTAAAATTAAAAAATCCCCTCCCCTCACCAGGTGACCTCACCATTAGACCCTACTTCAGATGCACTTCTATTGGGGACCAGCAATCTTTGTCAAGATACATTTATCCTGCTAGAGACAAATGTGAGTGCTGTCTGAATATCTATAAGTCTGTTTTAAGGAACTGAGTAGGTCAAAAAGTGTGTGTTTCCCTTTTGCACTGTAGGATTTTTCTTGTTTGATATTTTATATTTTTATTTACAAGTCTGGAAAGGGCTGCAGAGCCATTTATAAGGCTTCAAAACTTTACCAACCCGAATCGAGAGACAGTCATAGAAAACACTTAGAACAGTAATGATTCTTCCCTAGGGTCGCTGGCCTAGCAATATTATTTCAAGGGCACCATGTAAAATCATCAGGACATCACTAAGGCAGCTGAGCTGCAGATTTCCTTTGTCTCGGCCCAGGTCAATGGTTGCGACTTTACCATCAGAAATGAAGCTGGGAATCATGATACTACAATTAGAAAATAAGTTGGCAAAAATAGTCTTAATCCACATGTAGTAAGATCCAAACTCCTAACTGATCGTTCCTTTGTTTTGTAAGTGAACATAGATCTACAGCTATGGAAGAGGGATACTTTAGGTCAGAGTTTAGGGGTTTTCAAAGCATGGACCTGAGCTCTTTAGCAACAACAAATTAAGTTTTGGGCTGAAACACTTTCTTATTTTTGCATTGTTCTGCTGGAATATTTTCATCTTTGAAAGTACATATTCTACATATCCAAATATTCTTTTCAGATGACTGCTTCACTTTATAATAACTTATAGTGGAATAAGTCTGAACAGCTGCTTTGGGTTTGTCTCCATAATTAAATTCACTTCGCAACACATCTTCAAGCACTGGCTGGCACTGGTATTCAAACACTGCTGGCTGGCGAATAGGGCACCAGCTGGCACTGGTATTAGAACACTGCTGGCTAGTGAATAGGGCACCAGCTGGCATGGTTATTATAATGCTGCTGGTTAGCGATCAGGGCACTGGCTGGCACTGGTATTACTACACTGTGCTGGCTGGTGACAGGACTCTTGCTGGAGCTGGTGTAAGAACACTTGTACTGCTGCTTACTGGTGATCAGGGCACTGTTGCTGGCCTACACTGTACTGATGTGGCTGGCAATGTGGATGTAAAGCCCTGCCTTTCCTCTCACAGTCGGTCTGTGTATAGGAGAGCAGGCCACAAACCGCAGCCAAGTTTTAAAATTGTGATGCACTGTGATTGGTCATAGCAATCATGTGGTACAGAACCACTTTGACTGGTGCTGTAGGTTTTGCCTATGATCCATTGTGACTAATTGTAGTTTGAACACAGGAGCACATTGATGCAATGCTACACCTGTCCTTCCCCAGCCCTAAGGCTGAGAACTGAGCAATCACACACCACTCAATTCTCCCTGTTGCTCTGTCAGTCACCACTGTCTGCTCTGCCTCCACCCAGCGCTCGCTGGAGCGACTTGCTGAAAGACGGAGCTAAATGTCGGTTCTAGCTCTTGGGTGGATCCCGACCATATGTCGCAATTTTTGCCCAATCTGAACCAGCTGTGATGTCAGCTGACAGCCGACGAACTGCACTCCTGTGATCCTAGCTGCTGTACTTCTCCTAAGTTACTAGTTTAGTTGCATTCATAACGAAATTAGTTTAATTTAATTTTGTCTATTTGTTTTCGACCGGATTCAAATTTTTTCCAATGGATTAGAAGTATTCGAGTCGAAGTCAATGAAACAAATATTGAATCCATTCAAATTCATTATTCATTGTGAAGAATAGCTGGTTGTTAAGGAGTAGGGCTGTGATGTCCTTAACCTCCTGGCGCTGGCGCATCCTGGCCCTTTAATGGGTTTGTGATGCTGGGAGGCGGGGTTTAGGGTCATGTGATCTGTTGGCTGTCAGGGTGGTCACATGATCGGAAAGCACCCGACAGCAAGTAGCAATTGGAATCTTTCCGTGAGGTGCCAGTAAATGTGCCGGGAGTGTGCAGGGCGCATATTTGTGTATGCTCGGCGCCAAACAGTTACCAACCATGACTCATCTGTTGTCAGCGAGAATCCTCTTCTTACAGCAGATTATAAACAAACTCGTTCTGACATAAATAAACAATAGAAAAAAAAAAACAGCATGGGCCCCTCCCCCCCCACCCTAAAGCCTTAACAGGACTTCAGGTCTGGTATGAATTTTAAGGGGAACCCCATGCCAAAATGTAAAAAACTGTGAAAAACAAATCCATACCAGACCCTTATCTGAGCATGCAGCCCAGCAGGTCAGAAAAGAGGGAGACAAGCAAGCATATCCCCCTCCTGAGCCATACGAGGCCACATGCCCTCAACATGGGGGGTGCTTTGGGACAGGAGGGCTTCCCACCCGAATCACCTTATCCCCATGTTGATAGAGCAAAGGGCCTCCTCCCCACAATCCTGGGTGGTGGTTGTGGGGGTCTGCCTTTGGGGGGGGCTTATCACCTATGTGAATGATGTACCGCTACTTAGAAACCAGAAAAAATTTACAAAAAAAAAAAAAAACAGGACGTTTTTGACCTTTATTAAAAAAACAAAAGGAATGTCCCCAAAGTAAATCCAGCATCAATTATGGTGAACGCCACCACCCCCAACCCAAAAAAAAAAAAGCTCCATACTTGTTGCTTTCCTCCTAACATCTGATCACAGGTGAACCTTGCCCCCTCATTTACTGTCGGCACTGGGAACTAGAGCTGTCAGTCGGCAGGTGACTAGCGATGCTAAATAAACAAAGGGGTAGGGTCATCCGTTGTCTCTAGTAATCCCCCCCCCTTTATTTACCATTGGCAGGAACAGGACATGTAAGATGCCAAGAGGCAAGTGACCAGTGTGGAGCGTTTTTTTTTTTTTGTATTGGGTTGGTGGCGGTGGCTCTGAGTTACTTTGAGGGACTTTGTTTTTGGTTTTATTAAAGGACTTGTCAATAACTGTCAACATGTTTTCCTTTATTTTTGACACATTTTTTGGGGAATGAGTAGGGGGACAACATACCCTACACTCATTCACATGAGCGAAGCAGGGATCTGGGGGCCCCCTTGTTAAAGGGGGCTTCCAGATTCTGATAAGCCCCCCAGCCACAGACTCAGATCAACATGGGTGCTTTGGGTGGGAGCCCCCTTGCTCCAAAGCATCCCCCCCATGTTGAGGGCATGTGTCATGGTGTGAATTAAGGGGGTGGGGGCGCTCGCTTATCCACCCCTTTTACTGACCTGCCAGGCTGCAAGCTTGGATAAGTGTCTGGTATGGATTTTGTGGGGACCCCACACTTTTTTTTTTTTTTTTTTTGTGTAATTTTGGCATGGGGTTACCCTTACAATCCATATCAGACTCGAAGGGCCTGGCATGCACTGGAGGGGGCACGCTGGGTTTTTTTTTTCTTCGTACAAAAATTTAATGCTGGCACTGGTTTGTTTTTATTCTGCTTTCAACAGGGAATCATGCTGACAACAGATGAGTCATGGTTGTCAAGGATGCCGTTACTGGCTGGCCTTCCCTCTCCTTATCAACCAGCTATTATCAAATTAATTTGAATCATTCATTTCATTTGGATGCTTCTAATGTCTGAATGATAGAAATGAGTTTCTATTTCGTTATTGTTTATTTTGGATCCGTTGAAATTTATTACTATTGTGTTTGGAAATTTGGATACATCTGGATTTCTAAATAACTAAAATTTCATACAAATTTGAATTTGGAATGAAACAAAGCACACATGTGTACAAAGGACACGGATATATATATATTGCTGTAATGTACACACTATGGGCACCTCCCCACCATTCTTGGATCTATGTGAATTGTCAAAAATATTCATGAATCTAGTATGACAGGTGCATTGAACATTCTCTACAGACAATCCTACAAATTAACTTTCCTCTTTATAATATTTGGGAAGGACTCTAATTCCTAAAAATAAAACAATGTTCAGTTATAAAGCATATATTTTATGTTTTGCAAGTTACATTTCTGTTCATTTCAACAAATAAATATGTGGATTTCTTACCGATCTTGATTGGTACACATTTATCTCCGACTAAGTCATGGTCCGCATCTGCCTGAGAATGACAGAAAATAGGATAAGAACACATTCTTTCTGGCAGCACACAATATTTTGCACTTGAAACACAATTAAAGTCAGAGGCAAACATGGGGCTATCAACCAAATAATTTTATTTGGGAACAGAGATTTGAACTCTTCAAATTTGGGTTTCAGCTTAAAGCGGTATTAAACCCAAAAATGTAACATATTGCAGATTACCAATCATTGGATGTGGACTGCATTTTTTTTTTTTATGCTTTTTTCTTTCTGTTTTCACCTAGTGATCTGGCCAGTAGCACACCTCTTGTATTAGAATGCCCACACTCTGGATGAAGGAGCACAGGGGGCACATTTTGACAACATCATTGTCAATCTGGGGGAGTGTTAGTGTTGCTAGCAGATTTAAATACACTAACAAATTGAAGCCAAAATCCAGCCAACACTTTATAAGCAGTTACATTAACAGTTTTTTTCCTTTTAGGATAAACATTTTACATAAATAAAAGCTGATCATTGTAAGCCCTCCTGTTGGTGGTAAATGGTTCATCTCAAAACTCTAACTGCTACATCTGCAGGAGAGCTTGTTCTATTGAAAAACAACAGACTTACTGGACAAATCACTAAGTGAAAATAAAAGAAAGCTTAACATTTTCTATATCCACCATTTTGTGATATGTAACATTTATAATCAATATACCAAACTATGTTAAGAACTAAGAATACCTAAACAGAATGAATGACAGATAAATAAAAGAAATTAAAAAAACAGGTACTATGTTAACCTCTTCATGCCGGCCGCATGCAAACGTGTGGCCTCCCGGCGTCTAGGCCTAGACGCCGAGCGTCCTGCACATTTCCGTGCAATTAAGAAAAACGTGCTGAGAGTGCGCGCCCTGCGTGCTCACAGCACACATGTCCGGTACTCATGGAAAGGTCCCGATCTCCTCTTTCGCGATCATGTGGCGGCAAATCACGGCGGTCACGTGACCCTAAAAACCCCTAAAAACCCGGCTTCTGAAACCCTTAAAGGGCCTGTAGGCGCCAGCTCCAAGGGGTTAATAAAGGGGTTCTAAAAGCAGAAGGTTTTTTACCTTAAAGGAAAAGTATGGACAAAGCTCTTTTGGCCTAATTCTGTAGCACTTAGTTCTGCACTTCTGTGACCCATGTTCAGTCGACAGTAGGCTAAAGTCTGCTTCAACTGATGTCACAAAACAGGTCCAAGCTCTGCAGGGATCCTGGCAATAATGTCAGGATCTGCCCAGATGTCTGACCTGTAGCTGGCTCAGTCTCTCACCACACTGCTGAGAGCCTGAGCCAGCTGATCCCATGCCCTCTCCTGCCCTGCGCTCCATTGACCGCTGGAGGGGCAGATCACAGAGCCAGTGACTGCTTAACGTGCACCTGGGAACTGAGCTCAATGCTGCAGTCACTTAGGCAAGAATTATTGTTTTTTAAAATCCTCCCTTGTCTTTTAATGCATGTTATGCGTTAAGGTAAAAAAAACCCTTTTGTGTTCAGTTCCCTCCAGCCAAGCAATTCATAAATAATTCATAAAAATTAAACAAATAAAAAAAAAAAAAATAAAAATATATATATATATATAAATTCCATGCTCCCTATTTAGCGTGAATATGGTGCATATATAGATATTTCCCTAACAGTGCAAAAAGTCCAACCACAATTTCAAAGTCCAAAATTCCCAAAACTGGTGTTGTGAAATCTTTGCCACTAAAGTATGTATCCACATGCCCCACCACCTCCACATATACAAACTCCTTACCAAGTTGGTGTTATTTTCACTTTAGTTCTGACATGCAGGCGGTTGGGCAATATATCTAAGTTTAATGGACACTCTCAGGGGATCCCAGAAAAGGATGATCTGGGCTGCCATGTGCAAAACCATTACACAGGGGCAGGTTAGTATAACATGTTTGTTGGACTGAACTGTTGCTAGGAGGAAACCTTGACTTTGGGAAGTATTATTGTTAGTTTCAGTATTATTGACTTATTATTATTGGTATTATTGGCTTACTTTACAGGTTGAAATAAGTGTTGAAGTGATAGTTATATTTTGGGGGGTTACATTTTAAAAGACAGACCAATAGTTAATGTTTAGTGTTGGAAGGGGGTTTAAGTGTTAATGACTCCTAGCGACAAGAACAGATACTGTATACAGAACCCATAAAAAGGTTGGCATAAAATGTAAGGATACTCTATCAGGGAAGGTACGGGGAAGTGATGTTGAGCACACTGCAATTAGTCAACATTACACACAAAATGTCCCTGAGTACCTAACCTGGGGACCAAAAAAGAACATGAGCATCACATTAGAGTTGTTTCCATCAACAACTAATCAGGTTTCACTGTACATTTTATTGAAATATGCAACAAAAAATGTTCTTTTTTCCAGGTTCCATAAATCAGCTCCTGTGACACAGTACTAAGAAAACTCAATCCGACTATACATCAAATCAATATCAATAGGATCAAGTGGATAAAAATAGATAGCAGTATGACTGACCATCAAGTGTTAAAGATGGCCGCTGGAGCTGCATGTTGCTCCGGCGGTGTGACGTCACGCCGTGGTGTGGATCCTCCTGGCGACCCCCCTCTGAGGACGTGTTTGTACACGATATGCGTCAGGAAGAGCCATGGCGTGACGTCACGTCGCCGGAGCAACGTGGGGCTCCGGCGGCCATCTTTAACACTAGATGGTCAGTCATACTGCTATCTATTTTTATCCACTTGATCCTATTGATATTGATTTGATGCATCTATAATAAAGATATTATAACTTACTACACTATGGGAGTATTCCTGTTCCCACTTCTTGGGAGAGTACTTTAAATCTGCAGACCCATTGGACGGGTACCACGCTTCATGGATACTTGGTGATATATGACCACTCCCAGAAGGAATTAGGATACCCTGACACCTGGCATACTGGTTTTCACATTTGATGACCCATCCCCCGAAGGGAAGACCTTCTCAGCTCCAGGCCCCATTAGATGACACCTGTATTTAACTCCATAAGGCACAATCAATATGCGCGTCCGGTGAGTGCGCATTTCTTACACCACTCTAGCACCTTTTGCCGGATCAGGATTCACCGCAGTCACCCGATTGGAACTTTTTACTTGATCATTGATCTTCATACATTTATTTATTTATTCATCAATATATATTTTATTCATTGCACTCCCTTTCATTGGAATATATATGAGCTGATATATTGTTGTCTCAGACATTATACTTGTTAACCTTTTTTCTTAGCGCTGCGCAAATTTATTTAGATGTTCTTATTTATGGTGTTTTTGGTTACCCATTTATGTGCATAGTCGCTCGTTCATACTTACTCCAGGCGCTCACTTTTTCTCTTTCCATATACTTCAATCCGACTATAGCTCAGGAAGCAGCACTTTGGTGCATAGCAGTACAGAACATTTCTAATACCCGATCCAGTGAATAAGGTAATGATTTCCTATTTCATTTAACTGAGCTACATTTGTGTTTTTAACCTTTTAAAGGACCCTTCAATCTCAAGATGGTTCATTTTTAAAAAAAATGTTTATTAGAAAATCATATGTATGTGCCCTCAATAAAATGATTGCAAGCTATTCTGAAAATCTTCATTATTGCTTGTGGTCAAACAGACCTAAGACTGCTGCTGTTTGCTGCCATGTTGGATGTGATGACGGTGGCAGATGGCAGTGGCCCCAGAAGCTCACTATTGCTCACATAGAATGTGCGCTCCAAGGCACACCTGCTCTGGCAGTAAGGAATTCACATGACCAAACAAATGTATACAAATGCACGGAGTGCAGCTATAATGCAGTGGAGCTGAAATAGCTCACGCACTGCTGCCATACTACATTAAATACACTACTGTGATGGTGTAATTCTGGCCTGTACTGCTGGCTCTACTTTGTGTGCTCCCACTGTCATTGCCATGCCCACAGAACCAGTGATCTAGCCGGTTAAAGAGGGAAGGGCGGGAGGCTGCAAAGACAATAGAAGTGTTGGATTCCTATGAACTTTGTGCTTAGGACCCAGAAGAAAGAACATTGATGTTGCAATTATGTTTTCTCAATGTATTTTAAGTTTTTCTAAAGCTTTATAGCCTACCTGGTCTGGATTGCGAATAGTGGGACAGCTGTCACATGCATCACCTACACCATCGCCATCTGTGTCCTTCTGGTCTGTGTTTGGGACAATTTTGCAGTTATCCACAGCATTCTTAATTTCTGAAAAAAAAGTGCATATCATCAACAGTGTTTTCCTTGACACAACTGTATACAAACATTTAAATAAAGAAGCACAGTAGTCTCATTATTTGAATTACACTTTCCAAAAATGTTCACGCCTCCCATAAAAGATACAGTAATTTGTTAGTAAAATAAAGAGCACATCATTCTTGCGTTTTTATGTTGTGACATATGTCACTTTTCTTGCAAAGCTGCCATTAAGGTAAAAAAAAACACTCCACTATCTGTCCTACTACACCCCCCCCCCCATCCCCCACCCACCCTAAACACGTAGCTGGCTCCGAAGCCACTGCCCCATCTCCAGTATTGCTTCTCTAACTTCCTGAGGGCAGTAGAGCCATCGGCTACTGTTGCAGTCAATTAAAATCCTGTGAGGGGTAAGGTGGGGCTTGGCTTTCCAGAGCGGTGTGTGTCTATGGACACCTGTGCAAATTTAAAGCATTCCCCACACATGTTATTTAATGGATTTTTGTGTTTATAATGTTGCCCTCAAAGCTGCATGAAAAGACCCTTTTCCATTGTACGGTATTTTTTATGTTTTTTTTTTTTTCATTGGAATGCCCAATGCCCATCTTCCCCCTGCACAATTACCTAGCCTATTATCTTTAAAAGTGGCCAGAACAAACTAACAAGGCTTTCCTCCTGTAGGCTTCAATGGGATTCAATACTAGGTTCTGGTTTTTCAGACTTAAAACAAACCCTTCTCAAACTCTTCCCAGGCCGATTGCTGCATACCTGCAGCATCCACTAAAACTCTGCCACTATGGCCATTGTAATGGACAAAGCTATGGCACTCGGTAGTGTTACATAGTTGAGCCGGCCATATATTGTTTGAATCTAGGCTGGTTCAGCAGGGAGCTGCAGAAATTGGAACCATCTATGAGCAGGCTAATTGTACCCAATTCGATTGCTGTACGACTTGGGTACAACCAGCCTGTCAGACTCTTCATGCAATTATTGCCAGCGTCTCTGCTTACCCCATCAGGAGAACACAATAGCTCTGCAGGAGGAATTCCACCATCAACAATGACTGTCAAGGAATTTTCTTTCCTGCAACTCGTGGTTACGTGAAAGAAAATTGTATCATCTATTGCCTGACTTTGTCAGGCTGAAAAAAGACACATGCCCATCCAGTTCAACCAAATGGTTGTTGGTTGCCAAGCCCTTGCTGCTTTCTGCCCTTTCCTTTATGGCTTTGAGGCAGCCCACAATAATGGCCAATAGGAATATGTGGTGGGCATGACATAACCGCTACCTCTGACACTATCAGGGAGCAAAGGGGCTTTCCCAATCAGAGTGATACAGGGTTTGATATGGCAATACAGCACAGATGCTACTGTAGGTATATACAGGCATCTCTAGATACCTTGACTTTATACCTGCCGGCATTTTTAAGTAAGTTTAGTCTGTCATATTTTACATTTTTTATATCCATAAACTGATTTTGTTAATTTTTTCATCTGGTCTGAAGGATGATTCTTGACCACAGAATTTATGAAATAATTTATTTCAGAAATTTAAGCTTTTGGGTGCTTTGTGTATTTTTGAAGGTTCATAAAGCTGTAAGCAATATTTCTCATCAAAGTGTATACTTAAAATCAGATTATTCCAAAGCAGTCACTGAAGGAAGTGTGCAACCAAAAAACAGAAACAAAAAAGTACAACTATAAAAATGATATAAACATACTGTCTCCATCTATGTCATCATCACATATGTCTCCTTTTCCATCTTTGTCAGTGTCCTTCTGATCATCATTTTTCACATTACGACAGTTATCACAAGCATCACCGAAATTATCCTGATCTGCATTTTTCTGATCCACATTGGGAACATAGACACAGTTATCCTGCACCAATAGAAAGAAAGTGTTGAACAACTTGCCCGTCGTCATTTTCACTTTAGATAGAACTAAGCAAAACTGTTTTCTTTTGTATAGTGTAAGGGAGGGTTATAATCTCTCAGGTTTCTTTTTTTTCCCACCTGCATCTCATTATGGAGGTTTCCCTTCACTTCCTGACCCATAGCCAAAACATGAAGTGAGAGGAGATCTCTCCAAAATGAGGGAACCCCTGGATGTCACCAGGGTAACCAAAACTAATGCCCCCATTGGTCCCCCTTCTAAACCTTATCTGGTGACAGCCCAAAATTTGGAATTTTCTCTCATTTTCATTCTCATTGGTAAACAAGTAATTAAGTAGATTGCTTCTAAAAGTAAATATACAATTATAAAATCATAAACACAATAAAAATACAACTCATTGGTAAAGATAAACAGGACAAATAGTGAGGGTTACTTTCCCTAATGGGCACCTAGAAAGCAATTAAGAACTGACAGGTTTTCTAATCCCTCTCCACACTTATCAAAACTAGAAAAAAATAAGTAGTTTTGCTTTTAGATATGCTGTTAATAAGACTACCTCCATCTTCCAGTCAAATCAACAGTGGTGAGACATTGGTCATGTGGATTCTGCAGAAGGGGATTTGGACCTTGTATACACAATGATCCACTCATTCAACAGATACCAGTTATCAATGCCTTTTGGTCACATGTGGCGCTTCTTGAGCTTACTGGAATTAAGTTAAATATTGCATAAAGTAATTTTCTTAACACTTTATTATTCAAATTAAACCTAGAACAACCTTGCATAAATTATAATAAAATTACATTGTATTTTATGGATAAGCCCCCTTTAATCAACAATAGAACAGCATGGTCTGACATTGAGCTGACTCATTCTTTTACTGGACTAATATAACAATGCATCAGAATAAGGGAAAATAAAACAGATTTAATTTCCTTATTCAACTGTGTTAACAATCATCCTTTAGAAGACAAACTTTTGAACCTGAATATTTGGTATCCCGTCTCCGTCAGCATCATCATCACATGCATCTCCAATTCCATCCCCGTCAGCATCTTCCTGGCCAGAATTAGGCACAGTTACACAGTTGTCCTGTAAGCAAGAACATTCAGTCCATTAAAAATAACCTGGTAAACACAGAACTTTTTTTATTAAATAATATAACTCAGTATAATTACTATAAATGATTTTGAATGTGATAAACCACTCAAGGAAAGCATTTTAATTTTAAAAGGTAAGTAAAATGAACTAATACTTTCTATGCCAGGGCAGATTTTCATTTTTTTCTATAAATACTAAAGTGTACAATATAGACATAAAATTCACCAAAGACCTCTGAAATCACACATTTTCTGAAGCCAGAGGAGCTACAAAAAAAAAAGATAATTTTATTTCATTCATGCATTCTGGGATAGTTGTAAATCTTTAGATTATTTTCAGTAAAAAACACAATATTTTTTTTTAGCACAAAGACTCAATATACAGTAATCTCCAAAATTTCCATTCCTTACACTGTAAATTATAATTTGGATTATTGTTTTCTAGATTTCCCTTCTGGATTTCCCTCTGATTATCCACTACTCAGAGTTTGCCCTGGAATTGGTGCATTCGTTGACCTCATTGCTACCCCACTCTATAGTCCTAAATACAAAACCTCTGGCCAGCAGATTAAAGGTAGGCATGTCAAGCCTTAGCTCTTTTGCTTCTGAAGCCTTTTTCTTTTCCTTTGCACACATGTTAAAATACACATTTTAGACTTAAAGATTACTTTAAACCCAGAAAACTTAATAGGAGGGAAGACTTTACTAAAACTGCTACAGACAGAATCTGGAGCAGATGTGCAATCAGCAAATAATCAGCTTCTCGCTTCAGCTTGTTCAATGGAGCTTTGAAAATGAAATCTTTATGTCTTAATAAATACTTTTGCCTTAATAAATTCCCCTCTAAATGTTTCTTAAAAGCAGAGACCCTGTAGAATAAAATTATAGCAGTAGCATTTTTTATGTCGCACAATTATTCTACTGTTTATCAAATCTATATTTTTAGTAAGAAATTCACTTGAATTAAATTTAGTGAACACAACAACAACATAATTCCTAATTTTTGGTAAAATATAAAAGTTGAAGTTGCGTACATAGATACCAAATATGCTAAGGATCAATTTTGTGTGCACAGGTGAAATGGCAAAAACTATGGTACCCAGAATTGTCTATAGGTGACAAACCTTTACAGCTCATAAATTTAGAGATAACTGTGAGTTATGGCTACAAAATTATTGCTCTTGCTCCAGCATGCGTAGTGACACCTGATATGTATGGGCAATCATTGTTTTCATGCACACAGGCACCTGATGCTCATTTGTGTTCATATGTGCGTGTACGTGGAGGCAGGGAACTTTTAAAATGGGGGGGGGGGGGCATTTTTAAAATTTATTTTATGAAACTTTAATTTTCTAATCTTTTTTTCCAATGTACCTTTGTTTTGCTTCCACCTACTGTATGTGATAGCATAGTGCAGGTGACAGGTTCTCTTTTCTGGAGACATTATTTGAAGCTGATCAGTACCCAAACTCGAGTTGATCAAACAGACTGTGCTTGATCAGCTTCTTCTACTACCAGTTTATTCAGAGATTGACTGCTCTGAACCTGGCAGTGTTTAGTGCTGAGCACTTCTGGATTCATGCTACCAGGGGAATACAGCAAATTAATGTTCACTGATCTTCTTATGCTCTCAATCCTGACACCCTCCTCAAATGTCCTGTGCAGCCAATCACTGCTACTTGAAAGGCAGCAGCCTGCATAGCAAAGGTTAACTAATTCTTCTTTTTTGTTTACATACCTGCACTTCCTCCAATGGAGCATTTTTCAACCAGGGTACCCAGGTCCCCTAGGGTGCCTTCAGGTTTCTTTAGGGGTGCCTTGGTAAAATGCCTAACCATTTTCCAAAAACTGCATACAAGCCTATGGATGGATCAAGCCTGCCTTTTAGTTAAACAAAGCCACAGGTTTTCTCAGGTTCACTGTTACAACTTTTCAGCCACAGGCATCCTAACAACTAGTGACGTCATTGGTTGATAAGGAAGAGGCCAAGCTCCTGCACAGCATCCTTGTTTGCCTGTTCCCTACCCCTCTCTATTAGCACTGGGATCACATTAGCTGAGTGAGGAAGAGAAACTTAGGGACAAGAGAAACATTGGAATACTAGTTAGTACCAGGGTGCAAAGGTTTATTTGCTTTGGAAGAATAGATCTCCTCTAACGTTGAGTGTCCTACATGTGTAGAAGCTGTTGTATTATGTAAAACTGTTAGTTTATTTTTTTTTACATTTTAGAACGGGATGCCTCAAGATTTTTAAAGATTTTTAAAAGGGTGCCTTGACAGAAATGCACTGCTCCGATGTAATATTGTTTACATGCCAACGCTTCTGCCAATGTAACAATTACGTTAGTGGTTGCGAAAGGGTTAAAGCAAGTATCTACTAATTCAGCAGAGTAGACCTGAAGCACTGAAGCCTAAATTACACCCCTTCCCCTTTACAATACAGATCTGTGTACCAAAGAAACATATCACCAGGCCTGATCACTGTCACCTGAGTCATGGAAGGCATGCTGTTTCCACACAATTAACGATTTTCATATACTCATTTTAAAACCACAATTCCATAAAATATGTAAATAATACATAAAAATAAATCTTATATACATTTGATACTGTTTATATTTAAATTTTATGCAGTTATGGTTTTTAATGGTACAAACATTCGTTTTAGAGATCTGTTGTTGATGCCTGTACTTTCTGACACCCTACAAATTCCCTGCTTAGTTGGTTGGTAATTTGTCTATAGAATATGGCATGTGGTGTTTTTATTCACGGATTTTAAGACAAGACATTTTATATACTTTAAAATATTAATTCTTTGCATTGTACTTCCCAAGGGATGTGCTGGTGCTCTGCTAGGCAGATGGGGCAACAGCACCTTTGGACAACTGCTGCAGATCTTCAGAACTGGTTTACAGAGTTTCTCTAAGGGCAAGTGTACTGCTGGAAGACCACAGTTAGAGCACCCCTAATATATGATCCTGATATTTTAAAATTAAAGTATAACTAAATGCAGAATTTTTTTTTTTTTAGTTTAGATAGATTGGAGAGGGACTGGAACACCTGTTCCCAGTTAGGAAGATTCACCCTCCCTTTTTGTCCTATTTACTGTTATCAGTGAAAGAAAATCCAAAATTTTGGGCTGTCACCAGAAAAGTAATGGAGGTGAAATATTCCAATGGGGACACTAGTTTTGGTGACCCTCATGACAACTAGGGATACCCTCATGTTGGAGGAATTTCCACTTCCTGTTTTGGCCATGGGAGCATAAGTGAAGGATAATATCCTCAATAGGATACAGAGGGCAAAAAGAAAAAAAAACAGGGCTTATAACCTTCCCTTACTCTATCCAAAATAAGAATAAAAGTGCCTTTAGTTCTATATTTCTCTGTTTAATATTACCGGTCTAATGTAAGTAAAAGTTAAATTATTCATAAGCAAAGTCAAACTCATAAGCATCTGACTCAGATGACATTCATCCTCATTTACTAAGCCCTGTGATTTAATGGATATTGTATCTTACTTTGATACAGTTGCTTTTAATTGGGTCATTGCCACAGCACAGCATATCATGTAGCTGGATGGCAGGGTGATGAGATGAAAGGTGACCTACAGGCAGTCCAACAATTTAAAAGCAGACCGTACAGGCACTAAACAATAGAAACCATAGGAAGATGGTCTAGGCATCAGCAATTCAAGTGAAGCAGAGCAGGAAGAGTTCAAAGTGGTCAGGTGGAAGTACCTTTAGGAGAACAAGCCAAAGGTCAGCAACATATTCAGACAGCAGAGAAAAAGGATCAAACCACAATTGTAGTGAACTGAACAAAACAGTGATAAGTCATGCTTGATAAGTAGGGTAAAATTGGTAAGCAGAAGGATAGTTTAGTAAGGCCTCATTCACACAGTCTGTATCACTGCATACCCTGTGCAAGGGCCATGTGTACCTGCATGGGCCATCTCTCTGATGTCTGTTGGGGTGCAGTAGCTGCATGGACACAGCCATTTCTCCCAATTTAACATTTGTGTGGGTGCACAGCCCTGAATGCACACTGTCTATGCTTAGGGCCAGTTGTCCGAGAGCAGCAGTTGTGTCAGTGCAGCTGCTGCATCCCAATAGACATCAACAGAACTGCCTGCATAGGGATGCACATAACACCTGTGCATCCCCATGTGAGTAAATATGGCTTTTGCAAGGAGTACACATTAATAGACCCCGTGTGAACGAGGCCTAAAGAGACCAAAATTATTAGCAGATACACATACAGGGTCAATTACAGCCAGATTATTATAAAGGAGAGGCAATCAGGCCATAAGCAAACACAATTCAGATCAAAATCAGGATAGCAAAAGGTTAGGTCAGAATATAGAAAAATTTACAGAATTGCCTAAAGTGTAGGATTAGATACATCGTGATACATTCTTATCTTGTGGATTGCAGTGTGGTGGGCTACATAACCTTATATACCCCCTACTTTCACAGTTCTATAGACTTAACTTTCCTTCTTAGGACTTTAAAGTTTCAGTATTATCAGCAAGCGGGCTTTTGCTTTGGGTGACTAGTCTTTTAGGGTTTACATATACAGTCATGGCCGAAATTGTTGGCACCCTTGATATTTTTTCCTGAAAATCAAGTATTTCACACAAAAAAGGTATTGCATTAACACATGTTTTGCTATACACATGTTTATTCCCTTTGTATGTATTGGAACAAATATAAAACAGAGGCAGAAAAGCAAATATGACATAATGTCACACAAAACCCCAAAAATGGGCTGGACAAAAGTATGGCACCCTTAACTTAATATTTGGTTGCACACCCTTTGGAAAACATAACTGAAATCAGTCGCTTCCTATAACCATCAATAAGCTTCTGACACCTCTCACCCGGAATTTTGGACCACTCTTCCTTTGCAAACAGCTCCAGGTCTCTCTTATTGGAAGGACACCTTTTCCCAACAGCAATTTTAAGATCTCTCACAGGTGTTCAATGGGATTTAGATCTGGGCTCATTGCTGGCCACTTCAGAACTCTCCAGCGCTTCTTTGCCATCCATTTCTGAGTGCTTTTTGACGTATGTTTGGGGTCATTGTCCTGCTGGAAGACCCAGGATCTTGGACGCAAACCCAGCTTTCTGACACTGGGCCCTACAGTGCGACCCAAAAATCCTTTGGTAATCCTCAGATTTCATGATGCCTTGCACACAGTCAAGGCACCCAGTGCCAGAGGCAGCAAAACAACCCCAAAACATCATTGAACCTCCACCATATTTTACCGTAGGTACTGTGTTTTGTTCTTTGTAGGCCTCATTCCGTTTTCGGTAAACAGTAGAATGATGTGCTTTACCGAAAAGCTCTATCTTGGTCTCATCTGTCCACAAGACGTTTTTCCAGAAGGCTTTTGGCTTACTCAAGTACATTTTGGCAAACTGTAGTCTTGCTTTTTTATGTCTCTGTGTCAGCAGTGGGGTCCTCCTGGGTCTCCTGCCATAGCGTTTCATTTCATTTAAATGTCGACGGATAGTTCGCGCTGACACTGATGCTCCCTGAGCCTGCAGGACAGCTTGAATGTCTTTGGAACATGTTTGGGGCTGCTTATCCACCATCCGGACTATTCTGCGTTGCAATCTTTCATCAATTTTCCTCATCCGTCCACGACCAGGGAGATTAGCTACAGTGCCATGGGTTGCAAACTTCTTGATAATGTTGCGCACTGTGGACAAAGGCAAATCTAGTTCTCTGGAGATGGACTTGTAACCTTGAGATTGTTGATATTTTGCCACAATTTTGGTTCTCAGGTCCTCAGACAGTTCTCGTCTCCTCTTTCTGTTGTCCATGCTTAGTGTGGCACAGACAGACACACAATGCAAAGGTTAAGTGAACGTCTCTCCTTTTTATCTGCTTTCAGGTGTGATTTCTATATTGCCCACACCTGTTACTTGCCCCAGGTGAGTTTACAGGAGCATCACATGCTTGTAACATTCTTATTTATCCGCAGTTGTGAAAGGGTGCCAATACTTTTGTCCAGCCCATTTTTGGAGGTTTGTGTGACATTATGTCGAATTTGCTTTCTTTCCTCCCTTTTTTTGTTTTGTCCCAATACACACAAAGGGAATAAACATGTGTATAGCAAAACATGTGTTAATGCAATACGTTTCGTGAGAAATACATGATTTCCTGGAGAAATATCAAGGGTGCCAACAATTTCGGCCATGACTGTATATTGGATGGGGGGAAATTCTATTTGGTTTTGTCCTGCAAAGGCCTTTTAAGTTTGAAGTGTGCAGCATACACAGTTGTTGGAACTGCCCTTTACAGCTTGCTACCTAGTGTTCATCAGATGTCACATCTACACCCTTCCCTTTTGCCATAGTTTTTTTATAAGCTAGGAATTTTCATCCCTTCTAACATTCTGCTTACATTTTGTGATTTGTAACAGTACTGCTTGGACTTTGAAGAAGGGGACATACCCCGAAAGCTTGTCCTCAAAATTGTATGTTAGTGCAAATAAAAAAAGTATCACGGACAGTACTCAATTGTTTCTGTCCAAAATGTGCTAATACGGCTACAATCACCTCCCCCAAAAAAATACTACAGTGAGAAACACCTCTAAAATGAAAGATTGAGGTGCTGTGTGTGTACGCAGCACATCACAGTCTTCTTGGAAAACTGCATTTATTAGTGTTAATCAGGCATGTCACATAAAAAAATGCAAAGTTTCAGAACCTACAGAGGATCTCTTTATCAAGCAAAATGATATGGAGTGTATGGATAACAAGATACAGTGTATATACACATTAAACAGCAATAAAAACCTATAAACACCATGGAAAGATTGTGTGATAATGGCACAAACTTTGTCTGCCTATGCCCTAAGTCTCATAGCGCAGTTCTTGCTGTTTAAGGCTTTCAAGACATCCTTCACCATGCCAGTAGGATTTGCACCTTCAGCATCCTACCCAGTCAGCGCTCACTTTGCAGAAATGCAATGCCCAAACCAGATGCCTGACAAAAGATTGATATATAAAACCCCAAACAGTGGAAATCTACCTTAAATATGCCACAGAGGCAACAGTAGCAGTGGTGAACAATATAGTCTGCCCTTTTTGTAAGTGCCTGTGACAGGTTCCTTGGCTCTAATAAATCCTATGGCTGTGGAGGTATAGTGTGGGGCAGAGGATAGAGGATTTGAACTATGACAGCTGGCACCAGCACAAGGTTGCTTCAGTTTAAATATAAGCACAGTCCCTTGTGCTGATTAATTATCTAAACTTGGCCTTTAAGAAACTCTTTGCATTGAACTCTGCCACTTACATGCAGCTGTCCTTTATACACTATATTGTACATTACATACTTCTGACAAAAGTGTTAATTGTGCCAACAGTTGCTGGTTGCTAAACAGTTCCTGTATAAATTAATTAATTTTTTTAATTCTTCAAGGTAGAGTCAAAGTGTTAGCTCTCTGTCTAGTTTTAGTGAGCGCAAAAGCATTTGTAATGAAAGTGTTTAATTTTTTAAACGATTGTGCAGAGCTTTATGCATGTCTGTGAAACTTTTGCTTGTGGCACAGCAATTAAAGCATATTTTATGGGTACAAGGATGCATATTTATTACTCTTTTGGGGTGCTCAAAGATCTGTTACAATTTTAGCAGTGCATCTGCTTATCAGCTTGCAGGCAGAGGCTGTTGATCACAAGGGGTACTGTTGGTGGTAGTGACATTGAAAAAGACCTATACTCTTGAGCAATGCAGAGCCAGTTTGAAGAGATCTGCTCTGCCAGTTCTACGGTGGTAGATGGTGCCATGATTAGGCCAAGGAAGAGAAGTCTTTGGGGCTGGAGGAGGGGAGGAAGAAATCTTTGGTTTTTTTTTTTAACCTTCCCAAAACCTAGGCATCACACATAGGTGGGATGAGTAATTGGAAGACAATGCTGTCTTCAGTGACATGAGTTAATGATATAAACTACCGCCTTTTTTTTTTTTCTGAAAACTGTAATGAGTTAGATAGGGGAGCTGCTGTATGTAAGCTACTTTTAACGATAAAACAATCACTCTCACTCTAGTATGCACTACATAGAATGTATATAACATACCTGGCCGATTCCAGTAGAAGCTGGAAATCAATGAAGTAGTCACTGCTACTACAGTAATTTCCGCTAGGTTTAGGATTCTGTGCTCAGGGGCTGCCATACTGCTTTGTGAACACAGGAGATCATCTGCTTGGCATGGGCCTCATTCAGAGAATGCTTTGTATTTTCTCACTGAATGCCAAGTGTTCTCTAATTGGATGAGGTGTAGAGACAGAATGGTTATGTCACGATCTCTACCATGGTCATTCTTGCCTGTGATGCCAGTTTGTACACTATGGTGAGTGGTGATGTGGTTACCCCCCCAACACACACACATCTACCATGGAGATCCCTAGGTAGAGAGGCACAGCCCTCAGGAATGGGATTGGCTCACTTACTGACCTACAGTAGCATCCAGTTTTTCTTTTGGTTGACTGCAGAGACCCGAGCATGTGCCTTGCAATGTCATTTTCAAGGGATTGGATCCCTGTAGTAAATCTACGCTGAAGACAGAAGAGCATCCTTCCCAGCACAGGCTTGCAGTTTAGTAAAATCGAATTTTCCAATAATGAATAAGAGTCAGCTAATTTATCACAAAAGACCTTTGACCTTGCTGGTCCTTCCCTCACAATTGGGTATCATTGCAATTCCTTGGGATACTATGGATGTAGTTATATTTTTGTCTCTTACTTTTTTGCATCTCAAATCAGAACATCTCAGCTTTTCGTCTGGGAATCCATCAATGTCTGTGTCCTTGGCACACATCAGTCCATTTCCTGCCCATCCAACTTTACACTGTGAAAAAATATGCATGTATTGAATATAATTTAGCAGAATAAAAACCAAGTAAACAATCTAGTCATAACTTGTATCTTCAATGTGCAATAAATCACACTTTCTAATGTGAAGAAGTATTCTTCATATATTCTATTATTTTAATCTGATTGACTGCCCAGTGTACTCCACATTTAAAGGGTGGTGGACACTGAATAAGAGATAAGTGCAAATTTCAAGTACTTTAATGTAGCAAAAAATCTGGCAAAATATCGCTTAAAGAAGTGTGAATACTTCAGTTACAGTTGTAGCCAAAATTATTGGTACTTTCTCCGAAATAATTTTATTTTTCTGTAAAATAAGTTGAAATTGACACACGTAAATGGTATATCTCTGTCTGTCTGTCTGTCTGTCTGTCTGTCTATCTATCTATCTATCTGCCTATCTATCTGCCTATCTATCTGTCTGTCTATCTGTCTGTCTATCTGCCTATCTATCTATATCTATATATATATATATATATATATATTCATGGACGCGATTATTCGCACCCCTGCATTTCTGATAATGCACCACTTCGCCCAGAAAATTGTTGCAATTACAAATGTTAAGGCATTCTCATGTTTATCTCTTTTGTTTGTATTGGTATGACACACAAAAGTGGAAAAACAAAAAAGCCAAATCTGACACATTCTATGCAAGACCCCAAAAATGGACTGGACAAACTTATTTGCACCTTCTCAAAATTGTAGGAAATCATTGCATTCCAAGTTTGTGATGCTCCTGTTTTTGTAATTAAACACACCTGTATCAATTAACAGGTACTGCCAATCTAGAAATTGCACCGGCATCCAAAATATGTGCAATAAAATAGTACCCAGCTTTCAAATGCAATACATATATGGGAAACAACAGTGAAAAAGGCTTAGGCTATCACTTTAATACTTGTAAAAAAAAAATTAATAGCTATATTATATTTACCAAGTAAACATCATTAACCAAATGATAACACCAATTCAAAAAGGTTTAAAATAAAACCCTGTACACAAACAAAAAACTTGATTGGTACATCAAAATAATTATTCATTATAATGCTAATTAATTGAATTAGGCTGCTGGGAAGATCATTGTGAAAATATTGAGTTTTTTTTTTCTTCTAAGGGCTACCAACAAATATGTCCATGCCACTTGTGTTTGTTTCGATATTTAGAATAATATTCTAAGTCATAAATCAAAAATATAGTTTCAACTCTGTGGACTTTGAAAAAAAAATGGTAGTAAGTTAAAATTCTTTAGGTAGTAATACCTTTGACTGCATTGTATATCAAAGCTAAAACCAGAAAGTGAGAGTGGGTGCTTTTCAGCCTAGCCACAAGTCTTTGCAATACCAACATGCATGGTTGGTTTTCTGTGAACTGCTGTATCCTTCCCCACACTGAATCCCTGGCAATATTTAGGTGGATGACACTGTTGAAAGAAAAATGTCAAGAGAGTATGTCTGTACAGACAGTGTGCAGGTGGAATAATCAGCCCAAGCCTGTTTGAATACTTCCAGTTTTGACAATACTCCCCTAAGGGCTGGTTTATATCTGTGCTATGCATTTTTGATGCATTGCAATTTAGATGTGTTTTACACCTGCTTTAGGTATGCTACCATTGAACTCTATAGAACCTGCATTTTGATGAAAAAGCTGCAACTGCAGTACATTTTTTAACGCACCACAGGCACATATAAAGCACATGCTTGAATGGAGCCTAACTTACATGTATTTCTTGACTACACCAGTGCACCCACAGGCTTCACTGACCATCACTACACATATACAATTCTTTTTTAATTGCCACTGCACTTGTAGGCATGTTACCTACTGCAATCTAGTTATCATGACTGCTCTAGCCAGGGGTTAGTGTCTTTTGCTACTGTTCCCAGTCTAAGTCACATGGTATTTTTGGGTCCTGTGTTCTTATAAAAGGGACAGGGTTCCTAATCCAATAGCATGGCCAAGCCTTGAGTTCCAAAGAGCTGCTGCTTGAGAAGAAGACACTGACTCAAACGGACAACAGTATCGGGGATACCGCCACTATGGCCTATATGAGCTCCACCTGTGCTGGTATGCTGGGCAGTCACAGCTAGAGTCAGGTTTAATTAGGGTAAGGATGTTTTGCTCTGTTGTAACTGTCATGACAATTTTACAGTAAAGTCTTGAAGTGTTATCTTGCTTGGTCTGAAGTTATTCGGGGGTGTATGAAAGTAAGTATTGTACATATCATCTTCAGTTTCGGTCAGTTAAAGCACATTGAGGTATGAAGATAGCTCTGCAAGAGCTAACATGGTACAGAATTAAAACAAGTAGTTTCCAAGGGTAATGGAGTTCTAGTAACCTTCACAAGGAGCCTGTCATGAGGCATGGTACCTTTGTCAGGTGAGGCATACTTGTGACTCCTTTCCCCAGTGGTCCTTCTCCCATAGCAATGGGATCAGATCACTGTCCTTGAGTTCTTCAGCCTAGCCGCCAGGTACAGGAGAGTAAAAAAGTGCACACATGAGGTCCTTGCTTGGTGCACATCGGAGCCCCATTCTGCCACTGGGAGTGAGGTGACAGAGGTGTGCTGGATGGGTGGAGTGGGCATAGGCTCAGATTGTATCCCTCCTAAATGCAAACAGTTGCAATCAAAGTGTGCATTGACACAGGAGAGTTAACTGGAGTCCAGTTTATTCACTCAGTGTTCACGGTGTATGGCCATCTTTAAGCTGAAGGACTGCCTTATGGTGGACCTTCCCTGAAAGTGGTCCTTGTCTTTTCCCAGGGCATTGATAAGCACAACACAGCAAGGGTACCCCATGTGTAGGACAATGACCTCATCCACGGTGCCTAGCGTCGCCCAGAAGAACCTGGCGGTGTTACAGTTACTTGGAACAGTCGACATCCACACTCCACTATTCTTCACTGTACACATTCACCTTTTTTTGCTAGCTGTCAGTGCAAGCACACTTTTCTCCTGATAGCTATCAACATATAGGCACACCATGTACCACAATCTGCTGCACTATACATTACATTTCTGAGACTGATTAAATCTGTACACTGTATTGTACATTCATACCACAAGGAATTATGTTTAGAAATTCAGTATTTTATTTTGTTCAACCAATGGTCCTCTTCTAGTCTGAGGGCTGCAGTTTAGGTAAATACATGTAATAAATGTCAAAAAAACACAAAAAAGAAAAAGAAAGCGCCAAACAATAATATCAATCCTATAAAGCAGCAAACCTCTAACCCAAATATTGGTGTAAAAAAATCAAAAATCAAAAATGGGAATGCGCTAAATTATATCAAAAATTCATATGCTGTGCAAAAAAGTCCAAACACCATAAATTCAACATATGTAAAATTCCCCAGTGAAACAATCCATAAATTATTATTAGTGCAAAAAGTCCAACTCCCCAAAGAAATTTCTTCTTAAACGTATAAATACACCGTGCTCAATCCACCACCAGATGAATGGAATAAACTCACCAGAGCTCAATGCTGATCAAATTATAAATCAGCACAAGCGTATTTGCTCTGGGAGCGATGAGAGAATCCAAATCGTGAAGCAACACTCTGTAGTTTGAAATCATCCAGATACCAGGAGCAATACTCTGCAGCCACTCTGAGATATGGCCAGGACCCTTTATATATCGATCATCCTCCAAATATATGGCAATACCACTCAGAAATAAAGGAAAGGCATGATGGTGCAGTAAGTAAAAACTGTTTGTATTTATTTAAAATCTCATATTACTCACAAGTCAAGTGTCCACCTGACACTGGTATAAAAAACGACAGGATAAAAGGAATGGACGAGCCCCGCTCACAGCGGACACCTTGCCGACAGCCACAGGGAACATCCTGACGTCATCCAATAGGCTCCGCCCTACACGTTTCGTCACTCTGACGTCCTCACGGAGCGGCATGGATACATTCAAAAAAGAGAATTTCATTACTAACCAGTACTGTATTGGTTAGTACTGGTTAGTAATGAAATTCACTTTTTTGAATGTTAGGTTATAGAGTTCCCCTTTACAGGGCTTGCTATTGAGTGATAACCCCTTTTAAGTGAATGTTTTGATTTAAAATGTAGTTCACTCTTCTTAATATATGTCTTGTATGTTAAAATATATGAATAAGCTGTTATATATGCTGTTATAGATTTGCCTTTGTGTTTGTATCCTTACCAATTGAGCGGCGGTGTGTCATTATAGCGCCGCTGCTATTGGTTAAGAAGTACCGCTATGCAGAGTGCGAGTGGTATATATGAGTTGAATTGACGTCTGTATCCATGCCGCTCTGTGAGGACGTCAGAGTGATGAAACGCGTAGGGCGGAGCCTATTGGATGACGTCAGGACATTCCCTGTGGCTGTCGGCGAGGTGTCCGCGGTGAGCGGGGCTCGTCCATTCCTTTTATCCTGTCGTTTTTTTATACCAGTGTATTTATACGTTTAAGAAGAAATTTCTTTGGGGAGTTGGACTTTTTGCACTAATAATAATTTATGGATTGTTTCACTGGGGAATTTTACATATGTTGAATTTATGGTGTTTGAACTTTTTTGCACAGCATATGAATTTTTGATATAATTTAGCGCATTCCCATTTTTGATTTTTTACATGTAATAAATGTACTGATTTTTAATAAGTACACAACTGAGTGTTAAATTATTAGCATTTTTTATTATCTACTTGGAAATAAGCTTTAAGTATCCTTGGGGATGATCAAATTCATGAGATGTTTTTAACTCCTAACACAATTGTTGAAACAACTTTATTATACAGATCTGATGTTAAGTCTGTTCAAGCTGTTATTTTGCTAATTGTAAGTCTTCTCCACTGTGATAGCCTGAAGGGTTGTGGTAACCTGTAGGGTCTAGAGAATAACAAAAGTAATATGTTCCCTCCTAGCAAACATTGAATTGTTGGTATTTATGTTTTTTCATTAGCCGTTACGTCTAAAAAAAAATACCTTGTAGTTTTTTTTTTCCATAGGGCCCTGTTTATCTACTTTTCTTCTCTACATAGCATCAATATGTTAGGGTTGATTTACTAAAACTGGAGAGTGCAAAATCTGGAATAACTCTGCAGAGAAACCAATCAGCTTCCAGCTTTCTTTGCCAAAGCTTATTTGAACAAGCTGAAGTTAGAAGCTGATTGGCTACCATGCACAGATGAACCAGAATCTGAGTGCTTCAGCTTTAGTAAATCAACCCCAATGTATATACCTTGAATTGATCAACAGAGAATGTTATATTATCCTGAAAAAGGAACTTCTCAATGGTCAGTGCTTCATTGCTGCAACTTTGCACTTTCATCATGATCAGCTTGTCATATGAATAGTTTGGGAATTTATTGGATCACAGACAAATCATGTCTACATATGGATACTTTAGTAGGATGGCTATAAATGCCTATTGGTTAAATTGGTTCTGTTTTTGCCCTTGTTAACCTTGCCATTTTCTACTAAGTTCCAGGAAACAAATTTCTTACCACACATGCTACGGTTCCATCCCTGTCCATAACACAATCTGCATTTTCATGACACTTGCTAATCTCTCCATTTGGGCACCTTCTTTCTGTTTTACAGGCAGAATTCTGATTACCTCCTGACCCTGCTTTACAGGCTGCACATTTGTATGAACCCTAGGAAAAGAAAAAAATACAACAATAAATGTGATTTCCAGAATTTACAGTGGTTACAGAAGTACAGATGTCTACCTTTCTCTTGTCATTTTTAAACTTGCCTCCATTGCCTTTCATCACCTTTCCTACTATCCTATATTATTTTTATTTTTCACAGACTTCTGAGACTTCACTTTCTCTGTATGGATTCTCATGATGCAGACTCTCTTGCATGGTCAATGTTTGTGGACAAATATCGCTTACAACACTTATTTTGGTCACATTAGAAATCAAATCATATGTCTTTAATTTTCCATTCTACCTACAACTTCACAATCTTACTCCATTTCTTAAATGATGAAACATATACTACTTGACTGTGATTTGAGTGACTGCAGAACATGCTGCAAATAAAACAAATATGAGCATACTTACTTTAGTGTTTGTGCAGACAGTGTTGGCAGGACACACTTTGCTTCCACTTCCACATTCATCTATATCCTGACACATCTGTGAATGATACCCACTGTCAATGTTTCTTACATTTCAAAACACCTTCAGTATATTCTGATAATACTGTATACACACAGCAGTTTGACAATACTTTGTTAGCTACGGCAAGGGGGCACACACTTTTGAAATGGCTTTCCACTTTTTATGTATTAGACCACTTCTATGTTTACACTGGAGTTTAAAAACTTCCCTGACTTAATTTATATATGGATTATGATCCAGAAACTGCATAATTACTTTGCTATAAGGATGTTTTTTGATTTGTAGATATGCACACATGCCCTATTGTAATTAAACCGTAGCCTTTCCCTGAGAGGGGCTTCTATTTGTACAACTGGTGGGACTGCTATACGATAAGGACTTTTTGGACACTGGTCTTTGCCATTTACAATAGACACTGTAACCCCAACTCCGGAGATAGCACTACTTTTTATGCTCCTGTGCTCAGTCTCATCTCAAAAAAGGAGTCTACAACATGTGTCCCCCCATGACCATACCAGGCCACCTGCCCTCAACATGCAGTGTGCCTTGCCAAAGTACCTTATCTCCAAGTTGATGAGAACAACAGCTTCTTTCCCACAACCCTGGTCAGTGGCAGTGGGGGGTCTGTGCACAAGGAGGTTATCGAAACCTGGAAGCTACTGGAAGAGGGCACACAGATATCAGCCTACTTCATGTGAATGAGTATGAGGTCTTAAACCACTAATAATCTCTGTAATCTACTGCAATATGCAATTCACTAATTGGTTGTTTTTGAATGCACAACATTTTATAAAACAGAATTTTAAAAAAATTATATTTTTCCCTATTATCCCTTTTGCTGCCAGAGCCATTTTTGCGTTTTTTGCACACGTTTAAAAAAATAATTTTAGGCCTGAATATTACATAAACCCCCAAACATTATGTATTTTCAGAAAGCAGACACCTTAGAGCAGGGGTGTCAAACTGGTGGCCCTCCAGATGTTAAACTACAAGTCCCATCATGCCCCTGCCTTTGGAAGTCATGCTTGTAACTGTCAATCTTGCAATGCCTCATGGGACTTGTAGTTTGGCAACAGCTGGAAGGCCGCCAGTTTGACACCTGTGCCTTAGAAAATAAAATAGTGGTAGTTCCACTAAGTGAATTATAGGGCAAACAACCACAGCTGATTACCAAAATGTTTGGTAAAATATAAAAAATGGGTTTGTAGAGTTAATAGATACCCAACATGTCAAACCTGAAATTTGTGTGTGCCCATGAAATGGCGACAAACTTCAGTACCCTATATTTTCTATAGGTGACACTTCAAAAGCCCTCTATAAGTCATCCATTTAGCTTTACAGAGGAGGTCTTGTGCTAGAATTATTGCTCTCACTCGGGCGTGTGCTGCAATATGTAACATGTATCGCAATGAACATTTCCATGCATAGGCACTCCCAATGGGTACATGTGTATATGTGGAAGTGAGGGGGGGGCCCTCAAAAAATTTTGGGGGTGGAATTCGATGTAACTTTAATTTTATGCAATACAAACTACATTTTTTTTTGCTTAACTTTTTTTTTTCATCACATAGGGGACAAAAAGTTCCCTATGGGATTATTTTTAGGTGTCAGGTTCTCTTTAATGTCTTTCCTGTGTGCCACTAAAAGTAATGCAATGGACATCACATTGCACTACAGTTTTTCCCGGGTATGCTGGCCAGGGACACTGAGAGTCAGACCCAGAAGTGCCATCAAACTTTCTGGGTCAGCAACAAGGAGGGCGGCACCCGCTATGTTGGTCCCAGGCCTACAGATGGGCAAGCAGGGGGCACGTGGGGGGGGGGGGGTTGCTGTTACCCAGAGTGCATGGAAGTAATTGTGCAGCCACCTGAATGCTTCCACCTGACAGGCAGGAGTCTGCTTGTCAGTTTTACACTCACTTCCTGTGGCTGCAGCCATCAGATTGTGTAACCCCCCCCCCCCCCCCCACTGTCCTAGCAGGGTCAATGTGCAACATTCTTAGTATGCAGCCTAATTTAAAAAATACAGGAATACTGTAATGCCAATAAAAAAGTTAAGGATGACTTGCTAACAATACCTTTAATATGTGAATGCAGTTGTGTACACTATCAGTACAATGTTCATTGTAATCCCTTAATTAGTAAGTGAATACAAACATTTTTGACAATGCATTTAAAGATCGATATGTCTAAAATATTATTCGTCAACTTCCTTAAAAAATGCTCACAATAACAATGTAGCACCCTCTAGTGTTGCTAGAGCGTTAGGAAGAATTAATGGCTCATTTGGTAGTTGGAGTGTAAGCATGTCTGAGTAGGGGTCAAGTCAAAGTTAGGCTGGATGACTCAGCAGGTTGGGCCTCTATCACCTCCCTTTTTGGTTTTGGAGGTCCATAGAAGCTTCTAGAAGCCAGTGGACGGAGGGGAAAAGACCTGGATCTGTATATTCATGGGAGTCTGACCAATCCCAGGCAGGAGGTTTTAGTAGTGTGAAAAACTGCCCCTGGATATAAGGAGCCATCTCAGCAAGGGTCTAGAGTCAGATGGAGGATGGATTACTGAGGGTGCTGCTGTGTAGCCTGGGAGGGGTCCCTGGAGAAGAAGCCTGAACAATGTTTACCCAGAGCTACTGCATACAAGGACAGTGTCAGTACCTCCTATGTAGTATATTGTGTGTAAACAAAATAACCCCCCAAAATATATATACACATACAGTATACAGATATATTCATACATATACACATTCTTATGCAGGCCCTGTCTTCACACTGGTCAACTATGTTTTAACACAACAAAAGGATAGCTAATGGCTCTCTGCTATCCAGTTAAACTTTTCAAAGGAGGATATTTGCAAGATTACCTACAAGTTATTGTAAAATGCAGATTTGTTTGGGTAAGCATTTCAAACAGTACATTGTTCACATATTTAGAATGATAAAGAGTGTGATTTGACCATACAATAAGTATTTATTGATTGTAAATACATTCCAGGGGGTATCCTTGGGAAATGGTGAAAGGGTGACTTCTTTACCTGGTAAACACTATAGTGAATGTATTTGCTATTTATGGTAATGGAAATTGAAGTCTTTTCATGTTAAGATCAAAAGGGTTTTTGTTGGCCAATCAGAATCCCTCCAGCTCTGCTTACTGATAGTAGCAGTATATGCAGGGAAGTTTTAGCTGTTAAGATGAGATTCATTAATTTTTTCAATATGAGAGCACAGATATAGATTAGAACACACTTTATTGTATGCATGGAAGCTACCTAGGTGCATATTATAGATTGAACATACAGTGGGGATCGAAAGTTTGGGCACCCCAGCTAAAAATTTGTATTAATGTGCATAAAGAAGCCAAGGAAAGATGGAAAAATCTCCAAAAAGCATCAAATTACAGATTAGACATTCTTATAATATGTCAACAAAAGTTAGATTTTATTTCCATCATTTACACTTTCAAAATAACAGAAAACAAAAAAATGGCATCTGCAAAAGTTTGGGCACCCTGCAGAATTTATAGCATGCACTGCCCCCTTTGCCAAGCTGAGACCTGCCAGTGTCATGGATTGTTCTCAATCATCGTCTGGGAAGACCAAGTGATGTCAATCTCAAAGGTTTTAAATGCCCAGACTCATCTGACCTTGCCCCAACAATCAGCACCATGGGTTCTTCTAAGCAGTTGTCTAGAAAACTGAAACTGAAAATAGTTGACGCTCACAAAGCTGGAGAAGGCTATAAGAAGATAGCAAAGCGTTTTCAGATGTCAATATCCTCTGTTCGGAATGTAATTAAGAAATGGCAGTCATCAGGAACAGTGGAAGTTAAAGCAACATCTGGAAGACCAAGAAAAATATCAGACAGAACAGCTCGCAGGATTGTGAGAAAAACAATTCAAAACCCACGTTTGACTGCACGATCCCTCCAGAAAGATCTGGCAGACACTGGAGTTGTGGTACACTATTCCACTATAAAGAGATACTTGTACAAATATGGTCTTCATGGAAGAGTCATCAGAAAAAAACCTCTTTTACGTCCTCACCACAAAAATCATCGTTTGAACTTTGCAAATTAACATATAGACAAGCCTGATGCATTTTGGAAACAAGTTCTGTGGACCGATGAGGTTAAAATTGAACTTTTTGGCCGGAATGAGCAAAGGTACGGTTGGAGAAGAAGGGGCACAGAATTTAATGAAAAGAACCTCTGTCCAACTGTTAAGCATGGGGTTGGATCAATCATGCTTTGTGGTTGTGTTGCAGCCAGTGGCACAGGGAACATCTCACAAGTAGAAGGAAAAATGGATTCAATAAAATTTCAGCAAATTTTGGATGGTAACTTGATGCCATCTGTGAAAAAGCTGAAGTTAAAGAGAGGATGGCTTCTACAAATGGATAATGATCCTAAACACACCTCGAAATCCACGGGGGATTACATCAAGAGGAGTAAACTGAAGGTTTTGCCATGGCCTTCACAATCTCCTGACCTCAACATAATTGAAAATCTATGGATAGACCTTAAAAGAGCAGTGCGTGACAGACAGCCCAGAAATCTCAAAGAACTGGAAGACTTTTGTAAGGAAGAATGGGCAAAAGATACCTCAAACAAGAATTGAAAGACTCTTGGCTGGCTACAAAAAGCGTTTACAAGCTGTGACACTTGCCAATGGGGGCAGTACAAGATATTAACTCTAACTTTTGTTGACATATTATAAGAATGTCTAATCTGTAATTTGATGCCTTTTTGAGATTTTTCCATCTTTCCTTGGCTTCTTTATGCACATTAATACAAATTTTTAGCTGGGGTGCCCAAACTTTCGATCCCCACTGTATGCTGGATTGTGTTGTGTCTCTATGCTTGATATGAAGTATCTTAAATGGGGCTCTGAGGGGCTGCTGTTCTTTGTAATATTTACAAATACTCGGCTGGATTTTTTCGATCTGTTGCAAGTATATTTTGGTCTATAACGGAACCAAACAAATGTTTCTCTCTGGAAGAACCAAATTACTGTCGGAAAATT